TTTGCCGATGTATGTGTTGCCGTAGAAGAGTTCGAAGGTCTTGTCCTTGCGGTTGCTGCGAATGTCGACTCCGCACCGCATAAGTTGAGCCGAGAAAAGCAGGTTGTACCGCAGATCTGGAGCAACAAGCACGTAGCCGATGTGAATCGTGAAGTGTGTGTCGTCAGCTTCAAGGAAGATCTCACCGATGTCATATGCTTTGAGTGTGCCGTCGTTTGCCACTGTGATCTCGCAGGGTCGTCGCATGCATTTGGAGTTGGTGATGAATGTTGGTGATCCCACCATGTGCTGTCCGCAGCAACTGTCCAGGTACCAGGTGTTGATGTTCTCGTGGCTTTGCCTCGCAATGTTGGCGATTTTAGGCGTAACCACGCGATTTCTTTAGCCGGTATATGGCGAGAGGGCGAAGTACCGGTTCGCCGATATGCTGGGAGGCGATTCTGGTGTCGGTGGCGGCAGCTCGAAGTTAGGTGGGTGCCTTTGCGGTGAGTAGGTCTACGAAGGGGCAGTGGGATTGTTGTCTTGTCTTGGTGAGACAGGATTGGCGGGATCGTGGAGCGCGAATGTTACTCGATCATAGTGTCGGTATCCTCTGTTGCAGCGAGCCATGCAGCTCATGATTGTCCCTTTCCCTTTATCCTTTGCTGTGATGAGTGCAGGAGATTGGGAAGTGCTGGCAACGGAGGGAGGCGACACCGTGGAGGTTGCGGCAGAAGTTTTTGCTTGCGACGAGGGTTGCTGACTGAGAGGGTTGCGCCGTACATTAGCAGCCTGACGCTTGTAGCACTGGTCGATAGTGTGGCCAGACTTCTTGTAGTATTTGCAAAAGGCGCCTTTCTTTCCGCGCTGCTCCCCTTGAGATGATCCGACGTAGAAGACTAATTTTTCCCGCTTTGTGTTCCTCTCGTTGTACAGGTCGATCTCCTTCTGTTCGGAGAGGAGCGTGGCGCACAGGGTCAATTCGGAAATAGTCACTCGGGCGCGGAGCAAGGATTGGCATTGACACCAGTTGGAACCAAGACCAGAGAGAACCATTGAGACGAACATGTCGTCAGGAACGGATCCGCCGCATTTCTTCATATGGTCGCGCAGATTGCGGCATCGGTTGATATATGGTCCCGCTTTCTCTCCTTGATGCATTTTGACGGATGTCAGCTGGCTGAGCAGGCGACTCATAGTGACTGTATCTGTTGCCATGTATGAGTTGCACAGATGTTCCCAAGAGGCGTACGCGGGTGCCCATTCTGACTTGTAGGAGCGAATGCCGAGCTGTTCTTCGGGGGAGAGATTCTGGAGCAGGGTGGTGTACACGAGAAGAGATTCGTGGTAATACTGATTCTTCTCTTGAATGGTGCCTTCCGTTGGAAACGGTAAGCTCCCGTCGTAGTACATCCAGATCTGCGCGGTTGTCGCAAGGAGCTCGAACTCGAAGCTCCACGTGTAGAAGTCCTTTCCGTTAAAAGGGACTGATGTCTTCAGCTTTGAGGTCAGAACAAATTTTGTCTGCATTGTCGCAATTGTATCTGAATGTGCGCGTTGTTGATTGTCTTGCGCAGGAGCTGAAGCTTGACAGTTGTCAAATGTGAATGACCTCTCAGAGTTGACGCGGCGGTCTTCTCCAGGGAGAGGGAGTCCAGCAACTCCACGTGCATAGCTTGAGCCAACGACGCTCATTGCTTGATGGCTTTCAAGGGCGTTGATGCGGGTGACCAGCTGCTCAACGAGAGCGGCGCTGACGGAGTTCACCGCTGATGGTGCAGTGGGTGTTGTTGCTGATGGTGGGCCCGGAGAGTCTGCAGTGGCTTTTCCTTCTCGAGCCATAGTGATGCAGAGTCCTTAATGATGTAATGAATAATTTATAATGGGATTGTTCTAACAAGAACAAGAACTTGGTAGGCCTTATAATCCACTCTTGCTCTCATACCATGTTGATATAACCAAAGGATCGTAGTGGACAAGATAAGGTAGCCAAGTGTTAAAGGAGAGAACTATAAGTATCTGTAGTGACCTTGTTGATAAGCTGAGAGAAAACAAGATAATTATAAGATGGAAGTACAGGGATATAAATAGCATTCCTAGCTAGCCATGTACTCTGAGGGGTACATTCCCTTATTAACTGAACTGCATTGCTACAGTAACCCACGACTAGTGCCATTCTAGACAGTTACCACGTTCCACTTCGTAACTGCCTCGTGCGGTTACTGGGCAGTCAAGGGTCTCGACTGTTGACTGTCTTTGACCGTTGACCTTCGGGTGACCCTTGGACTTCCGCGTGCTCTATATGAGCTATTGCGGTACTAGTACAGGCGTACACTTCGTAATGGAGTGACGCGAGAGTGGGGAACCTTCGTGAATGTTTTATAATAACCTTTTGGTTATTCCAACAGTTACAAATGCACATCTAGGCAACGCAAGGCATCGGTGCACTCTATCCTGCAAGATTGTGATATGGTAACCACGTTTTGGGACGAATGGGAGAAGACACACAACGTAATTTCTAGGTGACGTGTCTTTGTCGGTCTTGGAGTCAGGCTCTCAGATTGTAGGAATTTTACCCTGATTTTGCCTCTGAACCCTGATTTTCAAGGTCTTTTTAGGTCCCAACCCTGATGAGAAAGTTTTTTTTTTTTACATGCCTTCTCTGTTTTTTCAGCTAACTTTCTTGTACTAGGCCTGAAATTTCAGCCTACTTTTGCTAGGGGACCCTGATTCGAATCATACAGTAGTGGGGCCATCCCTGTTAGCGAGATTGTCTAGATTCGATGAATCTGGCAAAAATTTCGCCCAAAATTTTCACCGTCACCGTCAATCACGTGAAACGGCATCTTAGGGCTGTTTCCTACATCCCCCTTATCTACATCTTGTCAGACTCGCCTCAGACACCATTTGTTTGGCGAAGTGCGAGACAGAAAGCGTGGGGTGACGTGGCACTGCGCAACGCTCCCGGAAGGTTGTTGAGGAAAAACGGTCCGTAATCCCATGCGGGTGTCCGTAACCATGGCCCCGTAATGGGGCGAGGGTTACGGGATGATATACCTCAGCCGACGAAAAACGCCGCCCAAATTCGCGGTTGAAATGGGACAAGGGCCCCCCTCGGGATTGACGAGCTCCTGACGACCTCCGAGTGGCAAACTGGGCCGAACTGGCGACCGAGGTGCCTCGGGGGCCCTCGGGATTGATGACATTCTGACGACCTCGGGTTTGGCTGGGAGATTCCTGAGAAGTATATCTCAGCGGACAAAATAGGACAGCACGCCACGTCGAGCCGCGACTGCCGCCACGCGGACCAATAGGGAGGAGCCAGACCGTCCCCACCGTGTACTAGGCTGCCACGCGGCGCAAATCGGACCGTCCAGGGTGTAACTGTTCTGTGGCATCGCGAGTTGCAAGCGATGTCGGTGTCGACCATTTCATCCAAAGGCCCACAACCAAGCCACGCGGCACAATCTCAACACTGTCTAGGTTCAATGAACCTCAGGAAACAACCAAGCGCCCCGAATGGAAGTCGACGCCGATCTTAGGGCGCCCCACGCTGGGCTTCAATAATTCCGGGACCCTGGGAGATTGGAGTCGGCATGCCGTAATTTCGGAACTAAGGGGCCAATGTCGGTCCCAAGCCACGTAACACATGCCCATTCCACCGTGGAAAGACCCAGGCTTACGCCCCTTCGTTGCAGCGCTGCGTCACATTAGCCATGCTTGGCACGTGGCACGTCGGACAATGCGTCGCCTTTACGAGAACACTTGCATGGCGGCAGCAGCATAGGGGTGTGCGTGAAGCGTGGCACCATCGGAGTCGCTCAGGACCATACCCGTCCGTGACCTTGAGGGCCTGCTCATTCCCACGTCCGTTCCTGCGTTTCTTCCTACTCTCTTGTGCACTTAGAAATTTCAGCTGCCAGTCTGTCATCGCGCCTGTAGATTACTCGGTTGCCGACTTGGTCAGTAGTCATCGACGTCGACGTCTGCTGTTTTAGCTAAACATCGGTGCAAGCTCCTAACGTCCCCGCTGACGTAGCAAGTCGGCAACGCATGGCCAGAGGTCGCCCTAGAGCCCAACAGCCGCAACCCATCCCACCCCCCGCCGACTCTGTAGACGCCGACATCAAAGCGCAGCTAGAACGGCTCGAGGTCGAAGCCGAGTTAGTCGCACTTGATTAAGAATTCGAAGAAGACCGCCGCACAACTCTTCGGGCGTTCACCGCACCCGTGACTCAGTACTGTCTTTGGTTTACCAACCCCCGCAATCTCGAGGTCGAACACGAGTTAGACGTTATTGAGCGATATCTAGAAGACGACTGCCGCGCAACTCTTCGGTCGTACACCGCACCTGTGACTCAGTACCGTCTCTGGTTTACCAACCTCCGCATCGCACACAGACGACGGTAGAGCAACATACGTGCTGCCACATGGCCGACGTCGACATGTCCGACGCTAGTCCATCGACCGACCACAGTCCGACATCTACCGAGGAAGAGACGCTCCCGTTAATCTACGATCTTGACAAGCTGACGCAGATTCCATAAGGGGAGTTCACCAAGGACATTCCCCCACTGCCGATCGGGGAGTTTAACAAGAAGAAAAAACAGAATCCGACGCGAACTGGACAGCCAGGAACTTCGTCGACACCGGCCGGCTCTGGAAACCAGGTTGAGGTCGAGGAGGAGGAGGATGGGGAGGAGGAGGAGGAGGAAAGCAATGACGAAAACGATGAGCGTCCACCGCGTAGCACTAATCAGCGCACCTTGGAAGAACGACTCAGGTGGGAACTTGAATACATAGATAATCTGCTCGAACAGGACGAGGATGCGGACCAGGAGAACTTGTCAGTACTGCGCGAACAGTGGAGGGCGGCAGACTTCGTCGAGGAAGACCTGGTTTACGCGTCCATCGACGTGCTCGTCTTGGACACCCTACGCCACCTGCAAACTGTGGAGAGGAACAGCACGCTGAGGTTGTACACCTCGTGGATCTATCACTACAAGAGGTGGGCGGCGAAGATGTTAAGGCAAATTCGCAGCAAGCTTCCGCAGGAGCACAGACTTAAGCACGTCGACGAGATAGGGCACTACATCCGGGACAGCAAGAAGAAAAACTGGGACCAAGAGGCCAATGTCCCCTGGGCGTACGTGTGGCTGCACGGCCCTAGGGTCACCAAGACCCAGCTTCGCGCATACGTGAAGTACATGGTTCGGGAGTTGAAGCTCGATGCCGAGTCCAGCAAGGAGGGCGACAACGCCACAGGAACACAGCCTGTGCAATCTACAACAGTGCACACGCTCCTCGGGCGCATAAATGCATGCCAGATGGCGGCGAGAGTGGATGCGACGCTATACTGGGAGACGGAGCTGAGCATCATGCGTGAGATATCGGTGGTCAGGTCGGAGGTGCGGTTCATGATACGCACCAAGAACGAGCGGGACATCAAGTGAGTTTATGTTTAACCTCTGTCGACCACTCTGTTGTTGTCATGTACTATGTTGACGCCGCCCTAAATTCCCCTTACCCTTGGGATTGTCGGCAGGAACTGTGCCGATTGGCATCGCGGAACCATTGGCGATACCTACACCGCCAAACAGTTCCGCCAGATCATGATCAGGGTGCTGCCGACGTGGGCGGCCAAGGCGTGGAACCCGCGGGGTACGGTCCCTTCGCAGACGTTGTGGAGGTTTTTGCTCTTGAAGGTGCCCACGCTACTCTCCCACCACTCTCTCCTGCGCAGTCAAAGCATCCGCGTGATCACGCTCCTCGACATGTTCTTGTACCGACTGGCGAGCACCTCGTCGGTGAACTCGGAGAACCAGTCGGTCTTCATGGTCATCGCTGCGCGGAACTCGAAGACGTCCAAGGATGCGCGTCTGCAGCAGAGCTACGCTGTGCGGCAACTCGAAGCGAAGTTGTGCGCCGTCGGCGAGACGGGCCTGTGGTTGCACTTTATCCTCGACTAGATCGGCCAGTTTCACGGCGTCCGCCTCATTCCGCCGATGGACACCAGCACACGCGCGAGCTGGTACAAGAAGCACCTCTTCTTTGCCAAAAACGACACCGACCAAGGGGAGCTCTCCGCGGCAAGCCACCAACGCTGGACGCGGCAGTTGTGGGACAAGAACGGGGTGCTCTGCAAGAGGAACGTGCACGCCGCTCGAGCGGGAGGGGCCCATGATCTGGCCATCGACGGCACGCCGCGCGCCGAGATCGCGGAGCTGGGTCACTGGGCGCTCGACAAGATGACGCGAGCGTACATCACCGCCATTCCGGTGGGGGTGGTGATGAAGAAGGCCGGTTACTCTGGTTACAAGCAGGACTACTTTTTGGGTTGGAGCAGGGTGGAGCCCTCCGAGAAGTTCCTGAAGCTCCTTGCCGAGCACATCTTCCCCGGCGTCGACGACATGCTGAAGATGGTATGTTAATCGACGCCGTCGTAGCCTTGTCTTCGAGTCGTGTTGCCGACCTTGTCTGAACTCCTAATACACGTGACGAATTGCAGGCGGCAGGGAAGGCTCCCAATAGGTCCAACGCCGACAAAGCCGCGGTGCATTTCTAGTGCACACTCCAGATGCTGCGCCGCATCGTCGCCGAGGACCTAGCGGTGAAGCTGGTCCGCACACCATGGCACCCGTATGTCCAAGGCTCCATGCTCTGCCGGATCCCCCTCTTCTAGCACTGGGCGAGATGGGTCGAGAGGGTCGACACCGAGACGATCAACGAGCGTCGGGACCCGACCCAAATTCAGGCAGAGGTAAGTCGACGACGACCTGGATGGAGGGTACTCCAAACCACCTCGCAGCTAACGTCTTTGTCGTACCGTTGCAGGAAATCTCTATCCACTTTGACACAGTGTACTACAAGATTGACTTCCTGGAGGAGCTCAAGAAGCGCGATGACACCATCGCGTCTCTCACCGCCAAGATAACCCGTCTCACCGAGGCACTCCGTGTGTGAGAAGCACGGAGAGTGCCGGAGGCCCCGCCGTCGGCTACCGCGCAAGCTCCAAGTGAGGGTGGCTCGGCGGATTCGGCCAACACGGGAGCGGAAGCCGACAGAGGGGACGAGAAACCCCCGCCACCCCCATAGACAGATGAGGAGGCTAGTTACGAGCTCAACGTGGTACAACCGTGGCAGGAGGCCAAGACCGTGAGGGACGCCTGGCGCCTCTGGAACTCCGCCACTACGAATGACACCCGTCGGCTTTGCGACAGGTTCGGCGAGCCGGGCTTCGTCGACCGCCACACCCTCCTGTTAGGCGCGACGCAAGGTGCACTCAACATGAGGGTGCGCCACATGCTGAGGGTCATGGATGCGGTGCGCCAGCTACGCGCGAGCGACGGCGACGCTGACACCGAGGCCGTGGTCGATGCACTGCACAGGATCGCGGCACCGGGCATCGGGACCTTCGCCGATGCCCTCACGGTGCTCAAACCGGGAACGACACCGATGTTGTCCAAGGAGCTTGGCATGGGAGTCAAGGGGCTAGGCCCCAAGGTGGTCTCGAAGCTACGCCTCGCCTGTGAGCTTGTGGCGCTCAACCTGAAGCCGACGGTTTGGGTCGAAACCCTGTTTCCAGACACCTGGGTGGAGCAGATGCCGAAGACCAAGGCCGATCTGGCGAAGCCGACCACACCTGCCAAGTCGACCACACCGGCCAAGCCGACCGCACCGGTGCACCGTCCTCCGACCAAGCGCAAGAAGTCAGCATAAGCGCGCTTGTAGGATATGCGTGTGCGTTGTTTGATGCTGTTAATTGTGGCAGACATTTACCCCCCCCCCCCCCCCCCCCCCCCCTTCTTTTTTCAAATGCTGTTCCGGTAGTTTGTAACAACCCACTGCAAGGTCCTTGCGAACCTACTTGATCCCGCTGTGTTAATTGTTGTCGGTCGCTCAGTAAGAATCAAAAACACTATCCTCGGGGCGATGTCGAAGTCTCGCAGGACTCATCCTTCATCACTGAGTAGCATGTTGCTATGCTGTCAACATAGACGCCGACAATGCTCGTCGCCGAGTATCATGTGTCGACCATTTTTTGTTCGCTCCTCACCAAGTAGCATGTTTCTTTGATGTCGAGATATGCGCCGACAGGACTCCTCGCTAGAAGGCGGCTAGCATGTTTCTATGTGGACAGTTATTTTTATCATCACAAAGTGAAGCAAACAGAAACAAAAAAGACTCGTGCCTACGATAGAAAAGTCATTAGAAGTACAACGACATCGGCGCCGGCCATACCATAGCACCACAGCCCGCCGACTACGCATCCGTACTATCCTTGCCTTGCTTGCCCGTCTGCCCCCTTTTCCTCTTGCTGCCTTTGGCCTGCTTGACCTTCTCCCCCTTCCTCCCCCTGTGCTCCATATCGTACTCCATCTTCGCGTCACACGGCACATCGATGCCCTGATCTTGAGCTTGGGCCCGGCGACGGGGCACATTCCCCAGAACGCCAAGGTCTCGACACTCGCTATAGCAATCATGTCGGCCTCGACTTCCTCAACTCCCTCCTTGAAGGCCCTGGCCACTGCCTAGCTCTGCAGCGCTGGCGCGACGTTATGTGCAACCTCCCCCGCGGGAGCCTGCCTACTGCGTGCTAAGTCGATCACTACGAGCATCACCTTCTTGAAGTCCTTGGCCCCTTCCTCCCCCGCACCTGCCACCATCGCCGCCGCCTTCCCTTCGCCCACAGCACCGAGCACCGACGCCCCCGTCTCCACGAAGCACTAGAGGGCGCATGTTGATGCCGCTAACGCCTGGGCCCCCATCTCCGTTTTCTCGTCCGCCTTCCCCTCCGCGCCTTCCATCTCCGTCTTCTCTCCCGCCTTCCCCTCCATGCTCGCATCGACCTTCCCATACGCCGCACTCGCCGCGACCTTCCCATACGCCGCGCACATCGATACGCGATTTACCATCGCCGACATGAGAGCATCGTCTCTTCCTTGCCTTCCTCCGTGTTTTTTATGATGGGGAACCAGATCGCCGGCCAGAGCACGTCATGAAGCGCATCACCCGAACTCGCGTACCCACGGTACCTGCCGAGTATATCGTCGAACCTGCCGTGCAAACATATTAAAACGACACGACTTCGTCAACATCAGCGTAATGACACCGACTTGGTCGACACAACTCGGCACGTCGGTATCCGTCTTACCTTGCTCTCGATTGGCACAAGCCTCTGGCCCACATCACCGTCCACATCCCAGTCGGCAAGAACTTGACCTCCGCCCACACCTCCTTCCATTTATCCAACTCCCCCGGCTTCAAGACGGTGAGCTCCTTCATGAGCACCTTGCTCACGTAGCCGTCGTAGACGAGGTACGCAATCGCGTGCTCATAGGCCAGCTCCATCTTCTCCCTCGACTTGCCGATGTATCGATTCTGTACGTTTACCTTAATCTCGCCCACCCACCCATGCCTGTCGCCGGACCTGTCTTGGCGGATGCCATGACCCCTGCGTCCATGCTCTTTATCTCCCTCGCCGCCCTCCTCATCCTCCTCCTCCGCCTTCTCCTTCTTCTTTGCCGGCTTACCCTTGCCGCCCGTCTTGTCCTGATTCCCTTTCTCTTCCGACATCTCCTTCCCCGCAGACATCGCCCTCGTGCTCCTCTGAGAGACCGCCTTCCCTTTCCCGGTGTTGTCCTTCCCCTTCCGTCCAGCATTTCTCTCGGCGACAGCACTCGTTGCAGCCGTCGGCTCTGCCGAACCCTCTCCGTGGGTCGCCGATGGCACCACATGCGCAAAGTCCATGATGGCCAGAGCAGGGGCGTGCTCGGGGCGTTTTGCTGCTTCAAAATTGGCTAGGACGGCAGCGAGTTTGGCATGCTTGTCGGCGCGGCCGCCGGTGGCTAGCACTGCACTCACTCCCTGCTCCGCGGCCGCATCGACAACAGCTGCACCTGGTGAGGGTGCAGTCGCGTTTACCGACGTCGGCGTCGTGTTGTTGCCGGGTTCCGGCTGAGTCACTGCTTTGCGTGCGCCTAAATGGGCGCGAAGAAACGCGGATTTGGGGTCCGCAGGGGGTGGGGCGACGACCGGAGGCGCGGCAGGCGGGGCACCGGACGATGTGCCGGCAACCTGCGGAGTGACTGAGCGACGTGCTGTTCCGGCAAGGCCGGCGTCAACCACGGGATGTTGCTGCACGTCCCTGCTATGTGCTGTGAAGAAAAAGAGAAATGAAGAAGAGGGGAGGATTTCACTAGCAGCAATGAGGATACATATAGCAAACCCTAGATGGGTTGTACTCGCTATAGAGCACCCCACTACAGGCTAGAGAATAACATTCTGACACACCCCCATAGTCAAAGTGGGGTGTAATCAGCACAATTAGCAAGCAGGCATAGAGCAGGAGTTCACAATAGCGAGCAAAGCTATAGTCATTCACAAAGGGCAAGTGAGGAGGAGGAGGCGAGACTGTAAGAGGAGAGGAGATAGGAGGCGACGGCTGAAGCTGCAGACACACGGGCAACAGGAGTCACACTGGCACAGCGGCTACCGGAACAACGCTCCGGACTACTGGAGTAACTGGCTCCGCGGCTAAGACTAGCGGCAGACGAGCAACGGACCCACGGGCGACTGGCACAGCTGGCTACGACTGGGCTACCGGAGCAACGCCCCGGACTACTGGTGCTGCTGACGACACGACGACAACCTCCGTTCAACCTCCCTCCTCCAGCTACCCCACACCTCTCGACACACACCCCCTGCTCAAACCCTAGCTCCACTCCCATAGCACCCCCCTTACACCCTAAACCGCAGGCTCACACACATCCACCTCCCTCAACACCCTAGCTCCACTCCCACAGCACCCCCCTTAAACCCTAAACCCCAGGCTCCCACACATCCAGCCCCCTCAGCGACAGGTGCAGCAGTGGGAGACGAAGGAGGAGGAGGAGCAGGGGAGACCACACACCCGTCACCCCCTACTCGCCACCCCCAGACCCTAACACAGGGCAGGGCGGGACGGCGGGTAGGGAGGTTAGGGGGGGGGGGGGGGGGGGCGACGCGCGGTCTCCCAGGGCGCCAAAACAGGCGGCAGAAGGGGCGATGCTCGCCCCCCTCCCCCAGGTCGCCTCGACCGGCGACGGGAAAAGGGGGGGGGGGGCAGTGCACGTGCCCCCGGTGCGCCGCGGCTGGCGACGGGGCATGGCCGGGGCGAGGCTGGGGCCGCAAGTGGTGGCGACGGGGCCGCTGGAGGCGGCGACGGGGCCGCTGGCGACGACGACGGGGCTGCTGGCGGCGGCGACGGGGCCGATAGGAGCGGCGAAGGGGCCGCTAAGGTCGGCGACGGGGCCGCTGGCGGCGGCGACGGGGCCGCTGGCGGAGGCGACGGGGCCGATAGGATCGGCGACGGGGCCGCTAGGGTCGGCGACGGGGCCGCTGGCGGCGTCGACAGGGCCGATAGGGGCGGCAACGAGGCCGCAAAGGGGCCGCGAGGGGCCTGGAAGGGCGGCGTCGGGCCGCAAAAGGGGTGGCGACGGGGCCGCGAAGGGGCCGCGAGGGGCCTGGAAGGGCGGCGACGGGCCGCGAAAGGGGCGGCGACGAGGCCGCGAAGGGGCCGCGAGGGGCCTGGAAGGGCGGCAACGGGGCCGCGAAGGGGCCGTGAGGGGCCTGGAAGGGCGGCAACGGGGCCGCTAAGAGTAGCGCGAGGGGCACGCCACGGGGCGTGCCGAACACAGAGTAGCAGCGGAAGCAGTTGAGAGGGCCCACAGGCTAGGACCATAGATGCTCTGATAGCATATGAAGAAAACGAGAAATGAAGAAGAGGGGAGGATTTCACTAGCAGCAATGAGGATACATATAGCAAACCCTAGATGGGTTGTACTCGCTATAGAGCACCCCACTACAGGCTAGAGAATAACATTCTGACATGTGCCTCCATGCGGCGGAGCATCGCCCTGAGCGCGTTACCACCGGGGGACCCCTTAGCTGATGCCGGAGCATCGCCCTTAGCCAAAGCAGCCTTCGCGTCGCCCTGGGCGGTAGACGGGGCTGCCGGAGCAGGAGGGGCCGCACGGGCCTCCCCATCTTTGTTCGCACCTGACTTGCCGGCAGGCGCGCTGGTAGCCGCAAGGTGGTTACGGGGATTCGACTTGGTGGTGCCGGTGACCGAGGCAGAAGCAGCCTTCGCGTTGCCCTTGGCTGCCACCGCGACGGACGGTCCCTTGGTGGTTCCGGCGCCGCCATCTTTCGCCACCTGAGCAGTTGGGACCTCCTTGTCGGTCACGCCTTTCCCACCGCTCGCCTGAGGATGGGTCTGCTCGGCAACCAAAGGCGGGCCAGGCGGAGCGGCGACGTTAGCGGCAACCCCGTCGGCAGGGCCACCCTCTGCCCCCCCGCTTCGGCCTCCCTTGCTGTGCGACGTCCTTATCACCTTCCACCCCGCCTTCTTCTTCAGCTGGTCGACCACGCTCTGTGCCGCAGGCTTTGGGCCGCGGCTCCCGTCCGATCCCTTGCTCCGCTTCGCGCTTTCCTTGTCGTCTCCGTCGCCCGTCCTCTTCAGGCCCTGCTTGTCGGCCGTCCTCCGTTGCGCGTGATCGGCGTCATTGGCCGACGGCGACGACCCACGTCGACCAGACGCCAGAGTGCCGATCATCTCGGTCATCATCTTCATCCCGTAAGCAACGAAAGACTGTTGGGTGGCCTCCGTCGCCGCCTTCATGATGTCGGCCTTGAACGACTTCAAGAGCTCTTCAGGGAGGGCGGGCGGCGTGGGATGAGGCGGTGGCGGCGGCTGCACGGCGAGCCTGGAGGTCACAGCGGTGGCGATGTTGACCTACGCGGCGGATAGTTGCGTCGTGATGTACAGCTCCAAACCCCACTTCGCTTCGCCCACCTCCCCAGTCACGTGATCGGCCATCGATCGCTCTGGCGCGTGCATATGCCACACGACCCTCCGGGTTGTCGAAGTCCTCCAACCACGCCGACGCCTGTTCCGTGAAGGTCTTCATTGCCTTCCACGCTTCGTCGAAGCTGCCGGTGATGTTGCCCGTGATGGTCTCCGACATGGCCGCCGTCGCGTTTCGCAGCTGTTCCGCCGCATACTTCTCGGTATCGTCGACCTGCTCGGCCAACCCTTTCACGTGGTCGACGAGTCCACTAAACCCAACAAAAAACCTGTCCAGCCGAGCCTGCTCTGCATTGAGCAACGTCGCCAGCCGAGCGTTCTCCGCCCTCAACAACCAGTTCTCCCGTCGTAGCTCCTCAACGTCGTCCAGTTCAGGGCCCTGCCGACCAGATGCTTCCCTGGTCTCCTGCACGCCCGTGATGTTCGCCCCTTCGCCGGCGTCAACCGACACCTTCCCACCTTCGCATGCCGCCTCCTCCTGGCCCTTTTCCGTCGATGCCTCCACGCCAACCTCATCCTTCTCCTTCCCCCCATCTGCCGACCTCGTAGCATTACACGCATCGCCATCCTCTGCTTCCTCGTTCTTTTCATCCGCCGACCCCACCGCCTCTACCGCACCTCCCACCTCTACGTACTCTACCCCGTACTCCACCTCGTCCTCCACCCCCTCTTCATCCTTCCCTTCCCCCTCCCCATCCTTCCCTTCCCCCTCCCCATCCTTCCCTTCCTCCTCCTCATCCCCGTCATCCTTCTCGTCCTTCTCCTCCTCCTCCTCGTCGTCCTTCTTGTCCTTCCGCGTCACCGCCTCGTCCTCCTCCTCCTCCTCCTCCTCCTCCTCCTACTCCTCCTCCTCCTCCTCCTCCTCCTCCTCCTCCTCCTCCTCCTCAGACTCCGAATCCGAATCCGACTCCTCTTCCTTCCTTCCTGCACCTGCCGCAGCATCGCCTCCTCCTCCACCGTGTACTCCTTCCGCGGACACCCTCGCATTCCCCTGATGCTGGGCGGCAACTGCTGCTTGGGGCGACGTCTGTCTTTCCGCGCCATCGTCATCAATCACACTGTCGGCGGGTTTGAATGCTTGTGAAGTTGGCGCCGCAGAGCGGTTTTTGGCGATACACTTGCAGATGTACTCCACCATGCTCTCTTGCAACGTCCGCAGCCCCTTTGTCTTGATGTTCTCGATGCTCACCCCACTACGACGCTTCTCGCCCGTGAGGAGGTCAATCTGCTTGGCCACCCACCCGAACGACGTCGCGGCAAGCATGCCGGTGCCGACCTTCTCGTCTGACACTGTGTTTGGCACATTCTGCATACAACACCAGCAATCGCGGAACATTATGAGCGGAGCATACAGAAAGGTGCACCCCTCTTAATAGATAAACGTGCAACTCGCGTCGCCGATAGGGTGGTCGCAGTCGGCAAGCCTGTTCTCAACCACTGCTTGTGATGGCGGCGCCCCGTCCCACTTCCTACCGGGACGCCCCAGCTCGGCCAGGACAGCCGTGCGGAATAGCCTGGAGCATCGTGGTAAAAGGAGGCGGTCAGCATGTGATACCCTGTGTCGTCGACTAACAAGCGGGACATCGACGACTATTCACAACTTACTTCAACACGCGAATGGCCTTGTCGCGGTGCTTCAGTTTTCCGGTATGCGGGTCGATGTGCCGGATCGAGGTCCTGCAGTCCTGTCCGTCAGCCTTCAGCAGATCTCCTGGGTAGAGGATGGCTATGACGCTGCAGTATGACCATGGAAGTGGACCGCCGCTGCACATGCAATACACGACGGCGTCGACCACAACATTAGGCGATGATGCGACCGACTAAACACAACGATAACTGGACAACGGGGAAACAACTCACATCGTTCTTAACGGGATAGCGGCGATGTCGGCGTCAAAAACCGTAGCAAAGCAAGAATGGTCGGCGGCCTTCATGGCCGATCGAAGCGGGCCGACTCCGATTACCCACAACCGCTGGTCGTTCAGCCCAATGCGATACCAAGCGTACTTGAGCGCACGAGTGGGCATGAGGGGTGATAACATGGTGGTTAAGCAAACGCTAAAGCTGCCAGGTCGACGCTTGCTATGGCGTCCGACGTCCTTGGACGGGGTCCATGCCTAATGCCTCGTACACCGACGTAAGTCTGATGACAATCTGCGACAATCCGTCCCCCGACGAAAAATGACATATACCCTATGCGCCCATCTAGAGTTAGTCGGCGCCGACATCTGCCCTATTCGCCAACCGCGACTACTCGGGTCCCACCTGATGCCGAATCCCAAGCATCTCTCGGTGAACTCTTTCTTATGGCTGCGAAGGACGGCGAAGTCGTCCCACTCGAAGGTGAAGCTCAGACCGCGACCCATTCGGTGTCAAAGAGGAAAGTCAGCCGAAGTCGGCGCCGACTTATCTGCGTAGGGGCTCGGCTCCATATCGACTACGGGAAGACGAGGATGGCTAAGGTACGATAGCACGGATTTAGGGGGAGGCGCAGAGCTATCAAGGTGTGAAGATCGAAACAAGATGCGGAAAATGAGGAGCGAAGCCACGGGACGTTGAAAAGGAGGTGGTGCCCCAACCCAGGCCCGTTCGGCATCGCCCAAGGGTGTGGGGCCTGGCTCGGCAGGGCTCGGAGGGCGCATGCGCAAGTGGCACAGGTGGTCCATCTCCGCCATGGCAGAGCGTCAACTTCGCGTCCATTGGCCCAGGTCGGCGAGGGGACGCACAACTCGCATGCGCGCGGAGCGTCGCCATGGCCGAAACGTGTCGATTTTGTAGAGGTTCGCGATGTTGGTTTGCGCATGCGAGGCGAGAGGTTATAATTTGGCATCGTCCGAATTTCGCATGCGCGCGACGCGAAGCCATGGGCGAACACGTGGCGTGACCGCAACGGGTCGCGAAACTGACGAGTGTCCTGAGGGGGCCCCCGATTTTTCGCATGGCCCTCGCCTGCACGCCGGGCAGGCCGCGATGGGTTACTAGGACCTCACGGGCAGGTGGCACGTGTAACCAGTTCGCGCAAGGGTAACTTTCCCACGCGCGAGGTGTCGCCAGTTCGCCGACCCCACTTTCGGAGCGGGGCTGCGGGGCGGCGGTCGTGCGCTCGGCCCAGCCCTGGGCCAGGCTGGCGGGCCCGCACGCGCGCCAGTTGCCCGCCTCGTCAGGCCCGGCTCCGACGACCCCCCTCGACGACACAAGCAACTCGGCTCCGACGACCGAGTTCCGATGAGGTGTTCGGTGTCCTCACGCGGGGCACGCTAGGAAAACAACGAACCCAGGGCTGGGCACTCGACCGCTCACCCCTGCCACGAAATCAGGCGGCCGACCCTTGGGCTTAGCTGGGGCCCGATCCACGATCGCACGTGGCTAGGCCAAAAGCTGACCCGGCTCGGGCCCGGCTGACGCAGCTAGGCTGGGACCACCTGGCCAATCCGACGTCTGGGGCTGGCCACGCTGGCGCAGCATTCACCCGACTGGTAACCCGGCGTCGCAGCGACTGTGGAACTCGTTCCGATTTCTCGTGTTCAAATTCCCGATTCGCGAAATCCGTAACCTTGCGTCAGTTTGCCCCTGCGAAAACGTGTCAGCCGTTTGGCAATTCGCTTCACTCGTACAGCAGTGGAATTCAGATTGCTTCCCCTTCTGCCCACGGTTTCACGAGGTATTCGACATAACGCCCCATTTATAAAACGCACTAGCACGGAAACCGTCACCTAAAAGACTACATTTTCTCGTGGGTCGCGGTTATAAAAGCTTTCATGGGTCGCGGTTTTCGTGTTGTTTTGCAAAACGTTTAGGCACGAATGCTCCGGCATTGGGGTGTCCACGTGTCAACTTGCAGCTCACCAGCAAAAATCAACCCTGTAATCGTGCGAAATGCCCACGGTATTTTACTACACGTCCTCGTGGTTTCGGGTGTAAACGTTTCATGAGCACTCCGCAAGCAGAGCTGAAGCCCGATTTTCGGACTCGCAGGTTTTCCACGCAAACACTCCGTAAGCGCGACAAGAACAGGTTTTTAACTTAAAACCCTTAATTAAATTTATAGCTATCGCATCCCAAGATTACTCATCTTGCATTTACTTTCCCCACAACCCAGTGTCAGACTTGTATGACTTAGCCTGTGTAGGCTATAGTGGGGTATAGCACATATGGGGTACAACACATTTCTAGGTTTGTACTTGTACCCAACCTTTCCCTTAGTCAAAGCATTCCTCATTTCTTAACATGGTATAGAGCAGGTTCCCTAGTGGGAACGCTTCCTAGGGCCCGCCACTGAAAATCGAAGTTTTTTTTTCTGACCGGAGCGCGAGTCGCCCTTGCCCGAGACGCGCCCCGTGGGCCGCCCTCTCGTCGCGTCCCCTGCCCTTAGCGGCCCGTCGCGCCCTCCTAGAGGCCCCTCTCACGGCCCCTCGCGCCACCTCTAGCGGCCCCTTCGCCGCCCTTCGCGGCCCGTCGCCGCCCCTTGCGGCCCTGTCGCCGCCCCAAGCAGCCCCTTCGCCGCCCCTCGCGGCTCCGTTTCCGCCCCTCGCGGCCCCGTCGCCACCCATTACGGCCCCGTCGCCGCCCTTCGCGGCCCCGTCGCCGCCCCTAGCGGCTCCGTCGCCGCCCCTCGCGGCCCCGTCGCCGCCCGTTGCAGCCCCGTCGCCGCCCGTTGCGGCCCCGTCGCCGCCCGTTGCGACCCCGTCGCCGCCCTTCGCGGCTCCGTCGCCACCCTTCACGGCCCTGACGCCGCCCGTTGCGGCCCCGTCCCCGCTCTTCTCGGCCCCTCGTGGCCCCTTCGTGGCCCCGTCCCCACCCTACGCAGCCCCTCCCCGGTCCCAGCAGCAGCAGCGGCCACCTCTACCGCTGCAGCCACCGCTGCTGCCGACTGCAGCCGCCTCTGCTGCCGACCGCTGCCGCCGTCGCCGCCGCCGCTGCCGCTCCTAAAGCCGCGGCGGCCGCCGCCGCAGCCGAGACAGCCGCTGTCGCTCCTGAAGCCGCAGCTGCCGCTCCTAAAGCCGCAGCTGCTGCTCCTGAAGCCGCAGCTGTCGCTCCTGAAGCCGCCGCAGCCGCCACAGCCACTGTTGCGGCCCTGTCCCTGCCGGCGCGCCTCGGCCCTGCCTCACCACCTGCGGGCCTCTACCTACCCGCCCTGGTAAGAGCACTCCCGAGCAGCGCCTCTACCACCGCCCTGCTCTTACTGCTAGCCTGCTGCTGCGACTGCTGCCATGGATGCTCCTAATGTTCTCACTTTTGATGCTGAGGGTTGGGCTATCGACTTTGAGGTCTGGGTCGATGACCTACAGCTTTTCCTAAATTGCAATAGGACAGATGGTCTCTCGCTGTTCGATCTCACGTCTGGCGCCTCTCCTGCCCCTCCTACCGATGCTGACAGCACAGTTCGCTCATAGTGGGCCACACGTGATGCTGCTGCCCGTCTTGCTGTTCGTACTCACTTGCCGTCCTCTAAGCGCGCGCACTTTGGTCAGTATAAGACCGCTAAGACTCTGTACGACGCGGTAGTTGCACGCTACTCTTCCCCTGCCACTGCTGCTCTTAGTCGCCTCATGCTGCCATACCTGTTCCCTAACCTCGCCGCCTTTTCCACAGTCGCTGACCTAGTTACGCACCTTCGCACTAGTGACACTCGCTACCGCGCTGCGCTCCCTGCTGAATTCTGCGCCAAGAACCCCCCCCCCCCTCATGTACATCACCCTCTACTACATAGTCACCCGGCTCCCTGACTCCCTTCGCTCGGTCAGGGACCACTTCCTCTCTGTTTGCCCCACCACACTCACCGTTGACCTCCTCGAGGAGCGCCTCCTGGCAGCTGAGAAGAGCATAGTCACTGTAGGAGCCTCTAGTGGTGACCCTCGTACTCCCTTCTTTGAGGGGTGTTCCCCCTCCCCCCTCCTGCCCTCTGTTGCCTCTGCTGCTGCGGCCGACCTCGGTGGCCTCGAGTCGGTTGGAGCTGCGTCTGCCCCTAGCGAAAGACGCCGCACCGGCAAGGGCAAGGGGGGCAAGGGTGCTCAAGGAGCTGGCGGGGGCGGTGGAGGTGGTGGTGGAAGCAGTGGAGGGGGTGGGGGTGGTGGTGGGAGTGGTGGCGGGGGTGGGGGCGTCGAAGGCGGCAATGGAGGCGGAGGAGGCGGCGGCGGTGGTGGTGGGAGCGGAGGAGGCGGAGGTGGCGGCGGCGGTGGAGGTGGCGGCGGTAGCGGTGGGACTGGTCGGGGTGGCTCTGCGCAGAGGGGCGGCTCCGGTGGTGGTCAGCGCCAGCAGCAGCAGCACACTCGTGAGACCCCATCCCCCCAGCAACTTCATGAGGGGTACACTTCGCGTTAGCGGGGTGGGGGTGCT